TCATTCATTTTTTCCAGTTTCACTACTATACGCCTTGCAGTAGATTTTTTTGCATTGACAAATCTAGATCTGGAAGCCTATTCCACACAGATTTCCCTCTCTTTCCCTAGGTTTGGAAGTTCTCTGCTATTATTTCTTTGAACATGCTTTCTGCTCCATTATCCTTCTGTAATACCTATAATTCTTATGTTACATTTGCTCATTGAGTTGCATGTTTCCTGGAGACTTTCTTCATTTATTTTTAATCTTAGTTCTCTGTCCTCCTCTGTCTGGAGCATTCTATCCTGTCTATCTTCTATTATGCTAATACACTCTTCTATCATGTCCACTCTAGTGTTCAGGGAATCTGTATTTTGTTTTATTTCTTCCATTGTTTCTTTCATCTCTAATATTTCTGATTGATTCTTCTTTATAGTTTCAATCTCTTTTGTAAAGTAGCTCCTGAACGCATTGAATTGTTTCTCTACATTCTCTTTTACCTTGTTGATTTTTTTTGTGATAGCTATTTGGAAGTCGTTGTCATTTAGATTACATATTTTTGTGTCCTCAGGACTGAATTCTGGGTGATTGTCGTTTTTTCTGTTGTCTGGAGATTTGATGTAATGTCTGATATTGCTAGATATGGGTCAGGTCTTATGCATCCTGATATTATTTGGTTGCAGTTACCACCTATCACCACTGAGTGGGGGTTGAGAACTGTGTAGTCTGAGTCCTCTTCCTTCAGCTGTGATCCCAGCAGGGGAGTGGACATGGTGTGGGTGGGGGGAGGGGGCGCTATGTCCTAACTTAAGCTATTAACAATTTTGTGAGATACCCATTTGTGAACAAAAATGAAACATTTACTTTTTCTCCCTATCTGATCCCTCTATAATTCAGAAAATCTCAGTGAATATTCTTATTTTCACTTATATAAATCATTAGGCCAAGTTTTTAATATATAAAAAGAAGTTTTACTGTGATTATCTTAGTAAAAGAGAGGATAATTGTGGAGAGAAAAATTATGTTGCACTATTTTAGATGTTGGATTCTAGTCCTGTTAAGTGTCTTGAGGTTTTTATATACCTATAGACAGGGCTCCTGTGGCCTAAGGTACTGCCCTTGGTCTTGCTGACTGCTCACAGTGCCCTCTTTGTGAAACATGAACTGACCCCATATGAAATGGTCAATGACAGATCAGTGTCTGTTGCTCCACAAACTTCTGCTATCCATTGTTGTCTTATGCTAGTATGACCAGCTACTGTAATTCCTAATGTCTATACTCAAGTATATCATCAACAGGATAAAGAAGCTTTCCTGGATTCCAGTTTAAAGGATTCTGCATTTCACATATGTGTTCAATCGAAGCTTTGGTACCTAACTTACAACAAAGCTACACCTATGATGTTGTTCAAGTAGTAGGAATAGGGACCACTTAAAATTCTACCAGATGGGGCCAGCCTGGTGGTGCAGCAATTAAGTTCACACATTCCACTTCTTGGTGGCCTGGGGTTCGCCAGTTCAGACCCTGGGTGTGGACATGGCACCACTTGGCAAAAGCCATGCTGTGGTAGGCATACCACGTATAAAATAGAGGAAGATGGGCATGGATATTACCTCGGGGCCAGTCTTCCTCAGCAAAAAGAGGAAGACTGGCAGTAGTTAGCTCAGGGCTAATCTTCCTCGAAAAAAAATAGAAACTTAAAAAAAAATTCTACCAGAATTCTCCCTGCTGGGGAAAGATGGATTTTATTATCAAATAATTCTTTCTAGACCTTTATAACCACTCAAATTTGTGAATTCCGACAAGTCCTGTGGCTATGGCCCAAACTGCAATGGACCCACAAACTTTCTTCTACATAGCTTATAACAACCACACCCATGAAAACAAATATATGGTAGATGGGTAAAGGGAAATTTTGTTGGGAAGCTTTACAAAATACCTCTGGCATTCTTTCTGACCTGTATTGTAATCAAAGTACGTTTTATTATAATTTTACTGCTATTTGGTGTAATACTATCTTTGCTAGTAAAATACAACTGCCTAAAGATAATAAAACCTATACTAATATTGATATTGATGATCAAATGATTTGGGAATCAGAATTACATCCACCACAATATATACTTTCAATGCAATATATCTTGCCTGAAAAATCATTACAAGTGACAACTGAACATCTTGTTACTGTATTAAACCAGTCTGCCCAAACTTATCATAAAGCATACATAATAGTGGTTAAAGGAGACAACCAAATACTTAAATTAGTACAAAATTACCAAGATATCCATAACGGGTTCTTTGGCTTCTTCTCTTGTCTCTTTAAATCTGTGCCTACTCCATATTGGCTACTTCAAATACTATGATTAGTTTATTTTTATTGTTATTATATCTGTTCTATAAGTGTTATAAACAATGCAATCATAAAAAGTCCTACCAAAACACACATACAATGTTTGCATGAAAATTTGACCTAATTGAAAATACATATAACATATAAAATTACTTCCCCTGTCAGTGTGTATCTCTATGATTGACAATTACATTTAGCTATTTCTCTCCAGTGTGGATTACTAGGTAGGTCAATTAAAAAATACCCCAGCTCCAGGAACATGATGGACCTAGGGCAGGAAACAACCACCCTGGCATCGAGGGGCAATAATTGCTCATCTATGCTTTCTATCAAAAGATTAATAATTCAAAGAATGAAATGATAAGAAAAAATTTATATACTGAAGTTAAAGGAGAAGCCATTCTGGTTTGAACTTGATTTGGTCTGAATTTTATTTGGACCAAAGAAGCCTGACTAACAGCATGTCAAACATATACTGTACCTCTGCTTTAATCATTACCCTAAGGTTAAGAATGTACTCTTTGAAGCGAAGAATTAATGTCTCCTTTCCTATGACATCAGGGCCATGTTAACCTGCTGTGCACATGCTAATCTGTCATGAACATCTTCTTGAACACTTGAAGGAAGGTAACCCTGTCATGTTTGATGTATGTATCTTTATTTCGAAATGGTTATAACTGTGGTGAAAATCATTCTTCTCCAGAGTGCTTTCTTCCCTTGAGAAGGATGCAACTCTCGGGTTATATTCCACAATTTGGCTGGAATAAAACTCTCTTCTGTACTATAGAATTATTGTGGGTTACTTGCATCACACCTTAATAGTGAGCAGAGATTCTTTTCCCCACAATATATTTACTTATTCACTAAATCTTAGAAGACTTATTAAGTAATTTCAGAACCTGAACTCACACCACTAAATGACAAGCTGAAGTTCAAAACCTTTGTTTACAGTTTTTCTTTATTGTGAGAATATATAGCCAAAATTTTGTGTTTGAGAATTACTTAGGTTGGTTACTTTATGTTCCCCTTTAGTCTAATTAAAGTAGTAATTTGCAAAATAGTTAGGTTTTTATGTTTTACTTCATTCTACTTTGGTTTATTCCCCACCGTCTATTTATTTTTTAGTAGGTAAAAGAAATAACATAGTCAAAACTATAACAATGAATTCACTCATCTCCCCATCTTTTCTACCCCATTCCCACTCAGCTCCAGTAAGTAAGAAATCTTATTAGTTTCTGACTTATTCTGCTTGTGTTTCATTTTGTTCAATGGGCCTATACATATATATTTCTATTCCCTTAATTTTTACACAAAAATAGCATGCTAAGGGTGCTTTTTTGTACATTGTTCTTTTTTTCAATTTAACAATATATTCTGGAAATCCCTCTATATTGAATCATAGATATCTTTGTCATCATTTTTTCACAACTGCGAAGTACTCAATTTCATTGATGTTCCATAGAGTTTTGTTTTGGAGTCCTAGAATGAGATAGTTGTGATGAATGTATTAAATGCCACTGAGTTTTATACCTCAAATGGTTAGATGGTAAATTTCATGCCATGTATATTCTACTACAATGGCAATATTTTAAGGACAAAGTAAGAAAGAATCTCCACAGAAAGCACAGAAAAGAGTTATAAAATAATAATAATTTATGAGTAATTAACTAATAGATGCAGAATGAAATGACAAAATATATACTTAAATAATAAAAAGAGAGTAAGAGAAAAGAAATATGAACCACATATTTCAAATAGAAAACATAATAATATGGAAAATATAAATTCAAATAGATAACGATGACATTAGATGCTAATATGTGAAATTCTCCAGTAAAATAATGATTCTCAATCTATTTAAAAAGATCCAAAGCCAACTTTACACTATTAAAAACAGACACCCCACAGATGTAAGGACATAGAGAATTTTAAAGCAAAGTGATGGAAAAGAAATACCATGTAAACAGTGACCAAAAGAAAGCTGGTCTATCTACACTAACATCAAAAGAATTAGATGAGATGTTAAGGTTGGAGCCATTGCAGAGATAAAGAGGAATTTCTCCTAATTAAAAATGCATTAGTGTGCTGTTAAATGCATGCAAAATGACTCTCTCTTTTTATTTTACAAAGCCTTGCTTTGTCACATTTTCAAATTTCCATAGTGTGATTATTCCTATTATGGCTGATTTCAATCTACAAACATGATGCTACTGAATGTGGAGTTGGAAATAAGTGTGCCCAATCAGGTTGAAGCTAATGCAAGCCTACTTCAGCACACCATGACATAAAAGAATCAGTCTACCAGGAGCAGATCGTGATGCTAAATCTGTGTATCCTAAATAATACAGCATAAAGAATACATAAGCAAAAACCTGACATATCTAAAAGGAGAACAAGGCAAATACACAACATAATTGTGCCACATGCTTTATATAAGATTATGTACATATCTCATAAGAGATGATGAACAAGTAGAAAAAAATAACCAGAATAAAGAATATTTATAAATCCAAGTAGCAAAATGGACCCAGTAAACATGTTAATAACACTATACATGAGAGTAGAATGCATATTATTTAAAAGTTATTTGGAGTTTTCAACCACACAATAATTTTTGGAGGTGCATCTCATTGTGCATGACTGCAATAAGAGGATTTAGTGATGGCCACTTCAAGAAGCTAGCCTATTGATAAATATTTTTAGGGCCCGTTTTATATCTCTGTTCCTCAGACTATATATGAAGGGGTTCAGCATGGGGGTAACAGCTGTATACATGACTGAAGCAATTATATCTTTGCCATTGGGGCCCCCTGATGAAGAGAAAAAGTAAACACCTGCAACTGTTCCATAGTATAAAAACACCACAAAGAGATGGGAACCACAGGTAGAAAATACTTTAAAGAGTCTCTTCTTGGAGGGGACCCTCAGGATGGTGGCCAAAATCCAGATATATGACACCAAGATGCTGCCCAATGGCAAGAAGAATAGCATTCCTCCCTCAGTGAAGATGACAAGCTCATTGATGGAGATGTCTGAGCAGCTCATCTTCAGGAGCACAGTGAGGTCACAGTAAAAGTGGGGGATGGCATTGTTAGCACAGAAGGACAGTTGGACCAAGAGGAATGTGTGCAACAGAGCATGTGCACAACTGAAGAACCAGGACCCAGCTACTAATGAGACACATAGCTCCTGTCTCATAAGAGTTGTGTAGTGCAGTGGCTGACAGATAGCCACATATCTGTCATATGCCATTACTGCAAGAAGGAAATTGTCTAGACAACCAAAAACAAAGAAGAAACACATTTGAGAGATGCACTGCACAAAGGGGATAGATTTTTCCTGAGTCTGCATGTTCACGAGCATCTTTGGAATTGTGACAGATGAAAGGGAAATGTCAGAGAAGGCCAAGTGACTAAGGAAGAAGTACATGGGAGTATGGAGGGAAGAGTCCAGCCTGATAAGCAGGATGATGAGCAGATTCCCCAGCATCATTGTCAAGTACATCATCAGGAACAGCGCGAAGAATATGACATGCTGCTCTGGTGGAATGGAGAGCCCCAGGAGGAGGAAATCAGACACACTGCTCTGGTTCTCAGGCCTCATACTACTTTTCCATATGCTGAACATGTAGAGGGTTTTGGAATCTCAGGAACCTAGAAAGGATGATCAGGACCAATGCATCTCATACTCTAATCCTCTGGGCAGCAATTAATTTTTAAACATATTCATAAATTTTTAATACCTTTTGATGCATGCATCTTCACTCTCTCCAAGTCTAGCTCCAGGAAAATATCACACTCAGAAGCAGCCAATGAGACCTCATTGCACAGAAGCAGGAGAGTGTTCATTGTTTTATTCACTTATTACTTATTGAATATTGAATCTGAACATAGACTTCTACCAAAGCCTGAGAATTCAGCAGTGAACAAGAAAGGCAAGGTCCCTGCCCTCTGCAAATGTATATCTTGATGAGTATAGAGGGATACTTCACTACACCTAGTCCAAGCCAAATCATAATAATTGACTGTGGCAGAAATAGTAGATGGACCACCACAAATTGATATCAGTTGCTTCTGCTTTAAAATAACATTAGAATCCAGAACCAAGGCACTGTTGCTGGAGAATTGTCACACACCTCCAGTGAATCTGGCTGAGTTTCAGTGACCTACAGCTGTAAACTCATGGTTATTCCAGAAGTGGTGGTCATTTAAAAATGCTGTCCAATGCTAGAATAGCTAGCAAACAAGAATACTACACGAACTATCTTTCATAAGAATTGTGAACATTTTGGTGAACATTTGGGTTCTAGGTTCAGGACTTTACCTACACTTCCTAATTAAATCCACCCATCAGCGTTACATTCACAGATTTTAAAAAATCTTTTCAAGTGCAATAAGAATGGATATTCTTTCATCTATTTTAGCTCTTCAGGAACAGAAACATAAATGATATAAATTACACACACCTACATATATGTATATACACATAAACTATATATATTGACATTTTCTGTAGGTTAAAAATAATGAAATATTGATGACTTCATGCAGTTCTCTATAATAGGTCTGTGTGATCAGAGTGCATGCTCTCAACCACTCATATAGAAACTTCCTTCATCATTGGTTGGGAACACCAGACATCCAGTGTTATTTTAGCACTACAAGGAAGCCAAAGTAGTTCAAAATTTTCTTATTTTTGGTCCCTAAATGAAAATAGGTCCCTTCATTTATATTGATCAATTTTACAATTTACAAAAGACTCTCACATTCATTACCATTTATCCAAACCAACACTTATTGAGGACCTATATGCTTCTTGAAGCAAGTATAATTCCTTCCATTTTATAGATTGAAAACTGAAGCCATGGATTTAAGTGATTTTCCCAAGTTCTCACCACCATTTACTGGGGTTCTGCACTCTAACTTCACAGTGCATTATGTTCATTTGTCTTTTTCTGGGACATTAAGTGAAGGGTCAAGACACTCTGAGTGATACAGTCACTCTCATTATATGATAATCATAGCAGGCAATCAGAGGAGAAACAGGGAGTTGCTAGGAGCATAGGTTATGTCAGCCAATGATGCACCAGAGGAAAGTACTGAAGGAAATATTTGAGTCATGGGGGAAAAGAAGCCCCAAACACACATACAAATCACACAAACACACACACATACAAATCACACAAACACACACACATCGATGCTAATCTGAAGATTCATGTCACCTGTGATCAGTTCCCATCCTAAGGTAAGGAGAGCCAGTATGTATTTCAGTTCATAAACATTATATGCATACATACAAGTTATAAATAATATGAAAAGTGAGACACACAACACAAAATTATACACGATTCACCCACACCCACACTTACAATGAATATCAACACATCTGACACATGGCACACCTGGTAAACACTCAACTCCCCACATATACGTAAATCATCATTATACATACACATCACCAAAAAGACACAAAGCCACACCCAATGCAAAAATCCTACAAGAAACACATATAAACGCACATGCACACTCAACCAAATACTCCCTACAACAAGCAGCATACACACTCTCATTACTGAGAGGTATGAGTCTGCCCCTTCTGACCTATACCCTTCCTTGGGAAGGCAATTAGCATAAGACAGTTAAGCCTATTCACACAGGCACAGTCATTAAACTACCACCAACTCAGGCAGGTCATAACATACACATGGTAACATACACACAGGAAAAAGCAAACAATACACATTCCCACTCTCACGCACAAGTGTGACACCCACAAAAACAGCTCACACATTCACTAGCACACACTGCTGAGTGGAGGTTTGAGCCCTCTCTGTCCTAGGTTCTTTGATGAGGTAGGGCATGTTCTTCTCCATAGTGGAAACAACAATCTCACTCCCGAGCCTGAGCTCTCATCTGCTCAGCTGTGATGCAAGTATTTAATACCACAGGCATGAATCAGGGGTTGCTAAAAACACTTTGTGAGGCTGATAAATTGGTCTACTTGCACTAAAACAGAGCCTAGATTGAGTATAACTCAAGAAAGAATCAGACCATGAGTCAGATACATAGTACACAAACACACATACACACACACATGCACAACTATCATACAATGCAAACACAAGCATACACAGACATGCACACAAACTACACCCATGAATGCAAAGGCACACAAACCCACAAGCACACAGGCAGATCCATCACCAAGTGTAAATTTCTAGCCCCCTCTGACCTGTGCTTTTCCTTGGTGAGTTCAGACAACTTCTGCTCCAGACTGTTACCTAAATTCTCAGCTTCTCTTTAGATTCGGTATCCATACAAAAAGATGAAATATCTGTGGCCTCAGCACTTCTACAGATGTTCATGTTTTGTAACCAAATCTGGAGCAATGAGCAAAAAGACAACATTTTAAATACAAACAAGAGGACAGAAACAAAGTCCCAAGACTTCTGGTTCACGGAGGAGCCAGTGTAGGTTAATTGGCCAAGTTTTTACTGTCCTTTGGAGAGCTGCAGGTCCAGGAGCCCGAGTAGACTGGAGTCCCAGGGGCAAGGTATCTGATGCCAGCAATGCCTTTACTTTTGCCCATGGTTACAGATGGGACAAAGGATATTTTAAAACAGATTGCAATAATGAATTGCTCAGAAAGGTGTTGGCAAATTTAAGGGAATCTTTTAAGGGATGGTGAGGTCTCCAGGGCCAGCACACAGTGGCAAACAGCCACAAGGGGAGGGAGTGGTTATGAGAACCTGGTGGGACTTTAGTGTCAAGAGAGGACCCCTGGAAAGGAACTGTGGACAGTCATTATTAACCTATGGTCCAGCAGGGAGGAAAACAGAATAAATGCCCTAACATCTCCTTCTTCCTTTCAAACTCTTGCTTGTGTTTCCCTTGGCCAAGTCCAAAGGACCAGAGACCCTGGTTGGTGTAGCCCATATAGGTCAGACTCCTGACACGAAACAGTGTGGAAAGGCTGGAGAATGGACATGAAAGGAAAAAATGAGACTATCTAGCACACGTTGGCATAGATAACATTTTCTAGTTACAAATTTGTGTGCCAGTTTGTGGATGACAAATATGCTGGTATATTCAACTCTACATACATGCTTCTTTCCTCAGTGTAAAATTACCTCTATAGTTTCCTTATAGAGATTGTAAAATCTTAAAGACCAGGGATAACATTGCATAGATTTACTTTCCTATGTCCTGCCCATGGTTCAGCAGTTCATATTCTATCTCTGATGGGGCCTGCAAGTAAAATATTTTGGAAGATTGTAATTATCTGCCTGGATTACAACATTAAATTTAGTGATATAACTGTAGAATATTCTATTTTCCTATTGAGTAGTTGTGGACAATGATTTTTTTAACTTTTTATTTTGAAACCATTTGAGATTTAAAGAGAAGTAAAATTATTTTAAAAATTATCATATATGTTTCATGTAGATTCCCCCAAAGTTAATATTTAACCATGCTTGCTTTATTGTTATGTAGGTAAGCATGTATCTCAGACTCAGCCTTTAGATCTTTGGTTGGTACACCAGAGTGCATCTTATCACAAGGCAGCCGACATCAATTTTTCCAATCACTCATAATTTTAATCTTGTTCAATTGATTAAGATGGTGTCTGCCAGGTTTCTCTACTGTAAAGTTACTATTTTTATCTTTGAAATTAATAAGAATAACTTGGGTAGATATTTTGAGGCTATATAAACATGCTATTCCTTATTAAAATTAAAACCACTCTGTATAACATCATATTTCATAAGAATCAAGTGATTCTCGCCTGAAACAGTTATTGTAACTGTGGTGGCCAAACGGTGATTTTTCTAATTGCATCAATCATTCTACATGTATTAGTTCTCTGTAAGAGGGAAGTTTTTCTTCTCTACTATTTATTTTTTATCAGTTTTTTATGTCAGTATGAATTCATAGATTTTCACTTAATCTCTGAGTCATAGCCCATTATGGCTGTTATTCTTTTGGAAGCTCAAATTATTCTAGATTTGACCAGTGGGAGCCTCTTTGAACTGGCTGCTGTGTCTCCATGATTCATTGAGCACTTCCTCATTTTCACACTCAGCAAAAGTTCCCAAATCATCTTTGTATTGTCTGGCCCTGATTCTGGAATCACCCATCTTTAAGTAACTTGGGTTCTTCTTATAGAAGAATGGTATTTAAAGAGAAAATTGGTTAGGGATATTCATTGCTTAAAAGGCTTCACTTATATGTGTGTAAGTATATATATATATATATATATATATACATACATATGATATATACACACACACACATATATATATATGAAACACAGGAAGTATTAACGAAAAACTGATAAACTAATAGAAATGGTTATGCATAGGAGGTGAGTTGGGACTAGGCTGAAAAGATTGGGGAATGAGAATAGTATAAATATTGATATATAATACATAAATTTCAACCAATTTATATATGCCTTAAAAACCATGAGGTCAAACTGACACCTCCAATTCCAGTGCCACCACAGAGTTCTTTCCAGCCTCTCTTTTTCCATGTAGGTGACATCTTTCCCTGACAATGAAGAGTCATTTCCATCTTCAACAATATTTTTACTTATTCACTCAATCCTGGAA